GCACATTTCATTGAAAATGACAGATACGGTGCTTTTATTTAGTTTTTTATACAATTTCTCATGCGATCTAATAATTTTTTTCATTTTGGATGATAAATTATATATTTAGCCATTTTCAAGGATTATATTTTAACTGTTAAGAAATAGTTTGTATGTTTTATAAAATGTTTTCATTTTTCAAAACACGGTCAAGATATTATGTACATGTTCAAAGTTAATATTATTAAGTATTAGTTTTTTGTTTTTATTAATAAGGCTTCCTTTATTTTTAGTCTTTTTTTACATGTAGATGATGCTGTTATATTAGTGTTATCAACAAGTATGTTACGAATAGTGTCCAGTAGGTCTCCATGAATATTCAAATGAGATCTAATTGAGCTATGATCAGAAAGGTGTAGAGTGAGTCTTTGTGTCAAACATGTTGTAGTGTGGCCGAAATACTTATTTACGAATTTTGATTGATCAGGAATACAATTCCTTAATGGGCATTTAAATTCATAAATAATATTTGCCCTATTTGATTTTGTTCTAGGAGGTGAATTATTATTTTTAACTATAAGGTTAGAGGTTTTAAATTTTTTTTATTAAATAATTAATCTAATTTTTTTGTTATTGTCAACTAATGTTATGCATTTTTTTATAATGTTCTCAATTCTGCATTCATCCTGTTTATAATTTTTGTTCATCTGATTTTTATAAAAAATATTAATGTTATTGTTTATGTTTCTATTCTCGCTGTTGCTATTAGCTACCTTAAATAGAAAAAGCCTAATGTGGAAATTCAACAATTGATTAGGATATCCGTTATTAATCAGTGTTTACTTTATATTGTTTAATTCTTTAAAGAAAAGCATGTGAGAGGATGAGTTCTCGTGCACTCTCGTGAGGAAATTTTTAATAACACCGATTTTTATATCTAAGAGGGCATTCACTAATATATATATATATATATATATATATATAAAATGTGTGTGTAATGTATATATATATATATTTTTATTTTCATTCTGACATTTCTTATTACTCTAAATCTACTTTCAAGAGTTTCTTGAGAAACAGATATTACAATATAGAAATACAATCTTTGGTAAACTAAAATTTTAAATGTTTTATAAATAAGAGGAAAAATGTTTAAATTAGGAAGGATTCAAGTACTAGATTTGTCTGTTACCCCCTCTCATGATTTTGATTTAATTTTTGCCTCGTGTATTAAATCATCAAATATATGTTTACTTATCTTGATTTAGCTTGTCCATAAAATGCATAGCAAAGTGGCGGGGGGGGGGATAGTAACGGAAGGGCAAGAGAGCGAAAGAGACGAACTTCTATTACTGTTTAGCTGGTATGTTCAGTTTATGTTGTGAATGTCATGATAACCTTTTAGCCATATTAGACTCAGAATATAGGTAATGTATCTTTTTTGCTTATAACATCCAACACTTTACATAATTTATTTTGGTTTAAGACTAGCTTTCTTTCTTTTCTTTTTTTTCCTTTTTTTTTTTAAAAAAAAAAATATTAGACTTACTACATTATTATTTTGAATGAAATGTAAGCAAGTCTGTTGGTGTGTATACACACACAAAGTGTCTGTCTGGAATCAACCCTGAACTGAAGAAGTTATTAGTCATGTTTACATGATGATTACTAAAAACAAAAATAAAAAGATAAAAAAATATTAAATCACTCGTCGTGTCCATTGGTTTTAATGATGCTTGTTTAAGTTTAGAAAGAGGAAATTAATCTTGGGATTTACCTCTCTTCACAAAACCAAATAATTAAGAAAAAAATTTTTTTATGTATTTTATCGCAGCTGTCAAATAAACTTTCATTTTCTGAATTGAAATGTATGAAGAAAAATTTCTCCTCCTTCTAAGATTGATATTCTTGTTTATAAGGCCTTTGCACTGCAGAATATAAACTCGTTCTAAAATCAGGCAACTTATTATTCCTTGTATAAAGGTATTTTCAATTACTTTAAGATAAACTTTAAACATTTTTTCTTATTTCTATTTTTTATAAGTTCTTTTATTCAGTTTTTCACTATGGACAGTTTCTACACTTTCTTAGTCGCAATAAAAGAAAAACTGAATAAAAAAAAAATTATCTACTTTTCCTTGTCTGTTACCTTCAGTTAGACATGTTCTTTTTGTGTAATGGGGAAGTTTACCCTATACAAGTTCCAGTAGAGGGTTATAGTGTAAGAGGCACAGTTTATGTGGATAGGTGTAGAAAATAAGTTAAACCTAGAGTTGAACAGGTTAAGATTGTGGTAATCAGGGAAACAACCTTTTTGGGCAGTGATTCGTGGGGTGGTGGGGGAAGCTGTTCAGGTGGAACTTATTTCTCATCAATGGAATACAGAGGAAATGAAGGTGGTTTGCTTTAATGCACATGGCATGGTGGGTCCTGTTAAGGTTAGAACTGGTGAAAGTAAAGAATTTAGTTTGAGCTCTTTCCATGGAAGTAACAGTAATCAGTGAGAGGCAGGTAACATCTCATCTGTGAGGGGAGGGATAATACTCACTCACACACACACACAGAGTTGGGGATAATGAAAAAAAATCTTAGTTGAATCAAAATCAAGAAAGAATCTTTTTATTGTATATGCAATTTTGTAATGGCAAATGATTTAATGCCTTTATACATATTGTATATTTGGGCAGCAGACTTTCTTCTATACATGTTTCATTAAATGTGACAGGCAAAAAAGTTTTTTTTATTCATTTTTTTTTCTAATGTTCTTACATTGAAAATAAATTAGTTTCTACACTCTTAGTCTTAATCCCCCATAAAAGGAAAATTGTAAGCACATTTGAAAGACTGAATAAAAACTTATAAAACATTTTCCTCATCTGTCTCATCCAATTAGATTTGTAAATATAGATATTTTTTTTTAGGAAGTGAATTAAATCTGACAAATTATTAATTTATTTGTTTAAATGTTATTGTTTAAATGGATACTCATATTTGAGTAGATGCTCCGTTTTTATTTATTTATTAAAGAGTATATTTATTTATTTATTAAAGAGTATATTTATTTATTTATTAAAGAGTATATTTATTTATTTACATCTATTCAAGAAATCCTGTTAGGGCGCATATTTTTCTAACAAGATTTTTTGAATATTCAGGCTGGTATATGATTATCCATTTAAGCAGTAACATTTAAAAAAAAAAAAAAATAAAAAATAAAAAACATAGATATATAGCACACACATAAACAGAGGTAGGGGTATTGAAAAGTTCTTAGTTTGACCAAAAACAAGAATGGATGCAAGAAAGAAATTTTGATGTTTGGTCATTTTGGTGTAGTGGGCTAAGCTGAAAATTTTTCAGCAGTCCCTTATATAAGTAAGAGTTAAAATACATGAATTATAAAACGTTTGTATATATAAGCAAGTTAAAATATAAATATATATATATATATATATATATATATATATATGAATTGTAAATTTACAGGATATTTTTGTTTTTTTGTTAAATTTTAAATTATTGCTCTTCATTGATAATTTTTTTTTTTTTTTTTGTTCACCTTAGAGCAAAACACCAAGCAAAGAGAAGGGCGCTCGTGAGTCTCCTAACCGAGAAGGCACCCCAACTCTGCCAGATGATGTGATGACTCGGTCTACCCAGGATCAGATGTCTCGGTCTACCCAGGACATCACCGAGGAGGAGTACAAGTTGAAGTTAGCAGAGAAAAGGCGCCAAGCAAGAGAAAAAGCAGAGAGAGAGGCAGAGTTGGAGCGACAGAGACAAGAAGAGCTTCGGTATGTTATTTGGATATCAAGAAATTTGATTTCATTTTTTTTTTTTTTTAATTTATTTAGATTGCAGACTTGTTTAATACAATGGAGTCTAAAATTTAATGGCTATTAATAGCCATAATGAAATATCAGTGTTTTTTTTTTTTTTTTTAATGTTAGCAATTGAGATTTACAGATTATGAATAGTTATTCTTGTATCAGGTGAAGAAAAATATTTTGTTTTCTGAGCCAGCATTGAACAAAGAACTGGTTGTTCTCTAGTTTCTAAAAAAAAAAGGAAATTCTGCAGGAGAGCAAAATAAATTTGATACATAACAATTGTGACTTGAATAATGAGGCTCGGCTTTTTGGCCAAAAGCAGGCAAAAGTGAAAGTTGATTAACCCGAAAGATTGACACTTAGCAGTCTTCCTATTCACTCGTGCAGAAGGTGCATCTTTTTGTTTCTAATTCCTGGAATAGTTTTTTTATTACAAAATTATTGAGAGAGAGAAGCATGCCAACAAAGTAATACAGGTACAAGTAGCTAAATACACCCATATACCCAGTCTGATAAAATTTTAATGGTAATATTAGTCATTTCCCTATAAGGAAACATTTAGCCGAACAGCTAGTAGTATTGATTGAGGATAAGAACAGCATACCAATGTCAAACTTGTTGTATTATTATTATTATTATTGTTGTAACCTAGAAAGGGTTACTGAATGAGGAATAATCAAAATGAAGGTCGGAAATGAAACAGTAATCTTTATAACATCAACAAAATACAATCCTTGCCAGCGGCGGGAAGTAGGTAAACCACTGCTTGTGGTGGACTACTTAGCATATTATCCCCCAATTACAATAGTGTCCAACATATTTATGAGGATTGGGACATACCCATTAGTGTCCATATGTATGGTATATAACATTATTAGTGTCCATATGTATGGTATATAACATTATTAGTGTCCATATGTATGGTATATAACATTATTAGTGTCCATATGTATGGTATATAACATTATTATTATTATTATTATTTGCTTGGGTCCAGGCTGATTTTGCTCAGGGTTGTATTTACAAAGAATGCCTCTTTTAAAAACATATTTAAGCCAATATTCTCAGCATGACCCCCAGTCTAATAAGTCATTTGTCAAAGCCAAATGTGGCAGATATGGTGACAGGTTTTGATAAAAGCAACACCTAACCTTGCAGTTGGGAACCAGTTAGAAATACCTTCAGGTCAAGAAACCCAGTCTGCTCAGATGTTAATGGTAATATAAGCTGTTTCCCTAGAAGGAAACATTTAGCATTCATTGACCAAACAGCTAGTACTGTTTTAGGTTGAAATTTATAAAACCTTTCTCTCAAAACAATTTTTCAGTTCAATTGGTTTCTCAAGTCCAGTAGCTGTTATTGCTCTTTCCAATATTGATCTTTCTAACTTTTTATTTTTATTTGTGAGGATTTTCAACATCTTGATTATGTTATTATTTTCTCTTTGAGTTACATGTACTATCCATTTAAGCTGTTGCTAGTCCTCAAGTGATGTGGTTTCTGTTATCTGATACTGTTTTTTAATGATTTGGTAGTGCCAGTCCACAAGTTTGAAGAAGTGTGGTCTTCAAGACTCATAGGCTTCACTTGCTCTAAGCCATTTTTAACAATTGATCTTAGAAAGTGGTTGTATACAGCTGACGGTTTATATATTTCTGAACAAGTATGGCACCATGCACAACATTCGTATGACAGTTTTAATTTGATGAGGCTATTTAAGAACATAATTCAAGTTTTCAAGTTGATGTTTTGGTTTTGTAGCCATTTGTGGTATTAGGTGAAACTGCCTCTGGCACAACCTATTCTATGTCCAATTTCCTTTTCTCCTGTACTAAATTTGTTATAACTGATCCATACACCAAGGTATTTGAAGTATTTAGCATTTACTAATTCTACATTCTGAATTTTTTTTCTTTTGATCTCTGATTGAGCATGTTCCCCAAGTATCTAGATGTGTCTCGTAAATTTGCTTTGGCTGACTTACAAAAATGAAATAAAACAACCCTCTCGACACCTGACCATGATGCTCCCTGACTACTTCTGCTTATGAGCAGATATGCATCAGTGTCTAGGGGATATAGCCAACTGGTTAAAGTCAGGCAGCTGACATGCAAATCTTTGGTACTGAATGGAATATTTATTACAGACCATCTTGATTCACCAAGAATAAGTATGTACATATTTGCATCACCATTCTAAGATCAGAAAACATTAGAGCTATGTCTATAATATCTTTTTTTCTTATTACTACAACAACAACAGTAGTTTGATGCTTATAGTAAAAGCAGTGAAATGTCATCTTATTTGCTGATGTAAGGCTTGTATAGATGTGGATGTGCTCCTAAACTATAGTTGTTGCTTTCCAAAACATTTCTGCATTTGGTTTGTGAATATAATTCTTGAAAGTTTCAAGTTTCATTCTTTGCAATTCAGTTCTCTGAGAATAGGAAGTAAATGTTATTCAGAAAGATTTTATTTAATCCTGTTTCTCCTATTAGGTCTTTTATAAATAATTGAAAGATGATAAACCAAGTGAAAATCTACTTGTCTAATCAGCTAGTTTAGAACATTTGTTTTTAAATCATTTCATACAAGATTTGCTCAAAACTAATGACTCCTACTTTATTCAGAGGCAGATTTGATAATATGGCAAGTTTTTTTTTTTTTTTTTTTTTTTTGTGAAAGCCACAATCTGATAAAATGGTGTCTGACATAAAAATGCATACAAAGCAGTGTTGAATTCTTCTATGTAGAAAAATATTCAACCCACCGATGGAGAATATTTCTGGAGACCAAAAAGTGGGTGTGAGCACAGTGGATAATGTGTTTCAGTAGTAATAACAATGGTATGTGTCACAAACTACATATCACGTGGCCTTACACAACTATCAACCTCGAAAATGAAGGCCATCTCAATCAGCTCATCTACAGATTAGGACCAGGGAACTCTACACTGCTGAATGCCAGCTTCATTGCATTGGAAATGATGTTGTCAATGTTGCGACATCACAACACCTGTGGCAGGTGGGTTAAATGAAGGTTCACACAAAAATAGAAAAACTATCAAATACAAGTTTGTTAGGACCTGCTGAACCACTACAAAACTGAAGATGAGTTTCCTGGATCACATTCTCACTGGTAATGAGACATGGGGTCACCACTAGAATCCATAATGAAATGACTGTTCATCATGGTGATATGTGAATTTCCCATAAAAGAAAAAGTTAAGGATACACACCCATCAGCAGGTAAATTGATGTGCACTATTTTTGTTGGTGGGGGGGTATAGTGAAGGTGTGATTCCTTTTGATTTCCTGCAACCATCAACTTTGTAACATCATGATGCTGACTAAACTGGTGGTCTGATTTTCTAAGATCAGGCCAGAGAAAAAGAAGAAAGCCTTTTACTTGCAACATAATGCCAGATCCCACAACTTACACCAGTTTGAAGACTATAGATCAGGTTTTCCCAACCTTATTGAAGTTTGACATGATTCCTTTCCCACCACCCACCATTTGGTAAAAGTAATTTGGGATTTAGCACAATGCCAATAAGATCAACCATTGGTGGGATTTAGCACAATGCCAATAAGATCAACCATTGGTGATATTCACAATGGAAAACCAAATGCACAATCTCCAACTTTAAAAAAAAACTGGTTATGAGATTTTTCGATGGAAATTGTGTAATGATAGTCATGTTTAGTGGACATGCTTCTAGTTCATTTCACATTACTGCAAGAGTCCCCCAGGGCCTCTAACCTTGGACCTATGTTGTTTCTTATTTTCATCAATGATGCTCCTGATATTATCAGTTTGCAACTAGGTATTTATGTAGATGCCACAACTATTTACTCCTGTTTTAGGGGCAAGCCTGACAGGTATGACAAAGTAAAACTGACAACTGCTCTCAAAAAGCACTTTCAAACAGTGGGCATGGAATGGCTTGTAAATTTAAATGCCTGTAAAACAAAACTGTTCATTTAATCATCATAGAGAACATTTTCTACCTGCCATCAGCATGGCTAATGCTAACCTCCAAGAGAGCAACTCTTTGCACCTTCTTTGGCTCAAATTTTCCAATGACATGAACTGAAGTGATTATATTGAATCAATTGCTAGTGCTTGAAAAGTTGGGTCGCTCTGTCATACCAGACAATTTTTTTTGTCAGAATCCATGTATAAATCTACCATTTGTCTATGCGTTGAAAACTGCTGCTGTATATTGTCTGGTGCTCCTACTCAAGATTCTTGACATAATTCAAAGAAGATTCTATAATATAACCAGTCCTGATCTGGCATCTCAACTAGTCACTTTATCACTGACATGTGGCTTTTCTACAAATATTTTCATAGCAATTGTTTTGATGAGCTTTCCTCCTTGCTCACACAACTACACGAATTTAAGCATTCTACTAGATTGGCAACTAGGTCTCATCGTTTTACTGTTGAACTAGCTAGATGCAAACATACGTTTTTATTCTAATAGTTTCTTTTCTTGCCCGTGGAACTCCTTTCTGATTTCTTGCTTCCCTGCTACCTAGAATCTTCAAAAATTTAAATGCAATGCCAGTCGGCCGTCTTCTGTCTTTCTGAATCTTGTTCCTTTATTGTCCTTTTTCCTCACGTCGTCTCATTCTCTTTTACTTCCTGTAACCCATTGCATCCTACTGGCATCATCACCTTGCTTGAGGTGAAATAATTTTTAAAAAAAATAGAAAACATTGCATTATTATTTTAATGATAAAATTTTTTGGTACTATTATTATTGAATTTTAAATTTGTGGATTATTTGAAATTATGACATTAGATATTTTTGGCAGAAAATTTGCAATAACAAAGATATAATGATCCTGAAATTAGAATATAAGATTTAAGGAGAAAAAAAAAATTCTCAATTGCATTTGCAATCTCACTGAATTTTTGCTGTTAATAATATTGGGGAAAAAAATAATTAGGTCTTG